AATCAGCGCTAATCAATTGGATTGAAATGCTCCTCAAAATATGATTGAAATTCCTGTTGAGAACATTAAGCTGGTACTATAACTGTGACCAATTTGAATTTTGAAACCTTTGATGATCTTTTAGTGTCTGTGCACATGCCATCTGTTTTTTAATATTTCATCTCATTCATTTATTAAAGGTACTTGCTAACACAAGCAATATTGCTATTGACATACTTTAAGTTACCCTTTTAGTATAAAGCAGTGTTTAACTCGTCCCACATCATTTGTGCTCTGGACATTAATGATTTTCCATGCTATCCCATACATTTTTTGTTTAAACACGGTCCTTTATCCTTTAAATAGTTTGTACTGTAACTTCTTTGTATGCTGGATCCTTGCTATTTATCAGGTTGTACTGTATGCTAAAACTGGCTTGGTGAAAATCATCTTATTGTGTTTGGCAGCTTTTAGAATGTCATCAGGCAGAAGCAACAATCCTGAACTGTAATAAATAAATATATGAGCACCTGCATGCACTTCAGACTGATGGCAGCGATTGTACAACGCTGGCTAATTAATACAAGACTGCTATTAAATCTAATTTAGAAGCAAATTAGAAAATGAACTATAATTAAGAGGTGATTTGCATGACTATAATTTAGATAATTACTGATAGTCTCTGGGTATATTTCTGCAACACCGATGAAGTTATATCTACTTTTATACATGTTATATTGCTTAATTTTAACCATTAATAATATTAAAGCTCCAGTCCGTACACAGGCTTAGGGTGTTCCCGCTGTGTAAAACAACTTCGCTTGTCGCACAAATTCCTATATATGGATTCAATTTACCCAGAAAAAAATTGGAAAATGATGGAGGAAGTTTCTATTTGTTATACGGTGTATATAGGGGAGACAGGAGCTATTGCAAGATCAATATTGCAAAAAAAGTTTTTTTTTTGTCTTTTTTGATTTTTTAAAATATAGAAAAATCCTTAAGAATTTTTCTTGAGTGGCGACACTGCATAACATATCAAGTCTTATAATCGTATTACATTTTTCAAGAAGTCTAAAAAATAAAGTTATTTGAAGCAATTTGAAACAAGCCGATCCACTTTACCATGTTGATAAGAGCATTAAAATGAGAAAAAAATAATGGGACAAAAAGAAATCAAGAGACATTTAGAAAAGATAAAAATGTGCAATTAATTGTGATTAATCGCGAGTTAACTACGACATTAATGCGATAAATCAATACTGCCAAACGATTAAAATATTTAATTGCGATTAATCGCATTAATGTCATAGTTAACTCGCGAGTTAACTCCACTGTTGTCAGAACAAAAGTGGATGTTACTTACTTGTTCAGATGACTTTTTACGGTAAAAACTCTTATGTTGGTCATATTTCCAAAAAGTATAATCTATGATTGCGAATGCCAGCATCCACACCGGCGCAGTGACTGACAGCCTCACATTCTCCTCAAAACATCGGATTCATCTGCACTGTTCCATGCAACCCGGTCTCATCCCAAGACGTCATATAACTGACGTTTTGGGACGTCTTTTGACCATACGTCAATATTCGCCTTTTTAGGGCCCCCTTAAACGTCGGTAGATGAGGTTATGGGATCCTAACTCTACCCCAGACCTAAACTTAACCCTAAACCTAACCCGTCACCTAACTGACGTTAAAGGTAAAGCGTCAGTTGTATGACGGCCCGGGATCGCCATCTACCGACGTTTAAGGGGGCCCTAAAAAGGCGGATATTGACGTACGGTCAAAAAACGTCCCAAGACGTCAGTTATATGACTTTTTGGGATGAGACTGTGTTATTCCATGCCGAGGCACAACTCACGTAAAGTTGAAATTTGCACGAATAAATGCAATTGCAGATTTTGAACAGAGATGGCGACAAAGAGGAAAATTGTAGACTGCAGCTTTAAATAAATATGTTGCTTGTGTTTTTTCCTCAAATCCTGCAATTTGGCCTCAAAGTATAGGTGTGTCAATCTAGAGGATATGAGGGAAAACCTGGCAGCTGTCTTCTGATATGCACAGATAGTCTCGACTTGACAAAGAAGGAGGGTTTTAGTTTAAGTTAATGTTATATGACATTGAATCGTAAGAGAGGCTGATCTCAAAGTGAGGTAGGAAACCTCTGGGGAATCAAAGTAACAACATTAACCTCTGCTTCTCAAAGGCACCATTTCGTATTCAACCTAACTTGTTTCTATAGCAACAGATATGAAAAATGTATGCTGAACTTTTCATATTGCGTCTCTCTGAGAATTGTAAAAAAAAAAATGCCCCTGGAAATTCCTATATATGAGATGATTGAATCTATATGTCATTATGCTATGCATTACAGAGAGTGAGAGTTTTATGAAGGTTATGGCTAATATATGTATAACATAATTCTGGTGTCACCTATTAACATTAATACACATCTTATCTAATGTTAATTCAATTTAATTATCACAAAAATGTTGTTTTTATTTTAGTCATGACGTGCTTTTCGGGTAAAACATTTTAGATGGATGTTAATCTAATGGTTTTTTTATTTAAATATTACAACTTGTTTCAGAATGTTCAGATTCAAAATTAATGTTAAAAAGATAAAAAAATGAATGTTTGCATAACCAGGATTTTTTTTTTTTTTTTTTTTTTTGTGATTTATTAAAGGTCAGTTTTAATGTTCAGAGAACATTCCGAAATTACATTTTCATAACTTAATGGGTATGTTAGCAAAATGTTCATAGAGCATATTTTTATTAGTTGGGAATGAACTATATTTAATTTGTCCTTACAATACACAGTCCATGAAAGATATAAAAATGAATTAAAATCATTTCAAATCAATATATAATGACCACATTTTAATTTATTAGGCGAGCAGTCATTTAAATTTAAGCACTTGATCACCCTGTTGTGATTTATATTGCGCTAATGACCAGCTGAGCTGACCCCAGCAGTACCACATAGTCAAAAGTGACATTAATATTGACAGAAAACAGACTGCCATGCATTAGTAACCACAGAATGACATGAAAATTGCTCTTGTGCGTTCTTGAGGTACAGCACTTACAATAAGTAGGGCAGTGTGCAATGGAAATATTACTGACATCATAGCAGGCATGTAGTATTTTTTCTTAGGTAGTAAGTGGCCGTTTAAGTGAAAGTACATGAGGAAAGGCAGTTACATTAATAATTTATTGCCTTTTGTTTGAAGGAGAAAGCTAGTCTTGAGTCTGGAGGATGTGAAGAGCTGGTTGTGGCTTTGGTGCTTAATATCTTTATTCCAACAAAACAGTGGTCAGTAATTGCTTCATTTTACTGTTCACATATTTAGTTTGTAATTCTACTTATAATGATATTTAGTAAGGGATTTGTTAGGGATACATTAGTCCCGGTCTAGACATCACTCCCACGGACCGCTGGATGAATGTCTGATGTATATGGCACACAAATTGGAAACACTTCAGGAGATTCAAAGTCGTCATCTTGAATTCAGGATTTCAAGGAGACGAGTGCGTCGCGTTTTTAAACGGACCGCCTGGAAACAACAGTTGTGTTTACAACTGTGACAATGAGCGCTTATCAGGATAAACTAAATGCTGGTCAGATGACAATTGCATGTAATGTAATATTGACTTACAATACAGAGAAATCCTGAAGAGATTTCTTATTCACTGCTGCCATCTTCATGCTGACTTTCCCTTAAAAAATATTGATGGTTTAACTTAAAAAAGTAAGTAACCTGGTTGCCTTAAAATTTTAAGTTCATTGAACAAGAAAAAGTGAGTTAATACAATGACGGAGAGTAATTTAACCATCAGAAACTCAAAATTGTATGTTATCTGAACTGAATAAATTATTATAAAGTTGATTTGACAACAGAAAATATGTTGTGATAACAAATCTTGAAAATATTTTTTACAGTGGAAGAACCGCCTGGGTCAAAGACAGTCAGGCTCTATTGTATATAATATATTTATTGTAAAAAAATAAATAAATATATTCTTGCATGAATTGCCACTGACGATGCTGCACCCAAGTTTCCTTTCTTTGGGATGATATTATTTTATTGTGAAAATGGAAATGTGAAGTGTTGCTAATAGGGTACTCAGAGAAGAGACAAGTGACAAGGGTGAGACACTTCATGCTAAGTGTGGTTATAACTGTGTGGTTATATCTGTCATAATTTGTGTTATCAGAGGAATTACTTTCTCATAGACATAAGGGACAGACCTAACTACAGTTTTTTTTTTATCTGTCATTTTCAATGTTTTCTGTAAATGAAGATGAATGTGCATAAATTATTTCCGTGTATACACATATGGCAAACACAGTAACTGTGACAACACTGAAAGATAAAAATGGCTTCACAGGGTTAGAGATTTGCATGTGTTTATTTGAGTGCAGTTTGTTTTTATCTCTGAATTACGTTAATTTGAATCAGTTTAGTCATAAGTACAGTAAGTATTATAAATGTGTGTATTCAATATTGATCAAAACTGTAATATTGTGAAACATTATTTCAATTTAAAATAACATTTTAAAATGTACTGTATTTTATTCTTGTGATGGCAAAGATTAATTTTTAGCAGCCATTACTCCAGTCTTCAGGCAGTGTCATATGATCCTTCAGACATTTTTCTACAGTAGTATGCTCATATGTTGCTCAAGAAGCATTTCTCATGATCTATATTGAAAACAGTTGTGTGGCTTAAAATTTCTGTTGAAACCATGATGCACCTTTTCAGGATCATTTGATGAATATGACGTTCAAAAGAACAGCATTTATTTGAAATTCAAATCTTAACTCTGAGTCAAAACTGTGCTGACCATGAAAACCCACAGGGTTGCATGCAGGCTCTAAAAAAACTTCATTTTGATCACGCCGTTTATGAGAATTATACTGACAGCCAACACTCATGAATCACAGTGAAATAGTGTGGCCATTTACACACTTCAGTAGTTTTTCATCACCGTTTTTCATTTGTCCTTTTGCAGGTGGCCAATCTCCTGCGTCTTTTCCAGATTCCTCAGATCAGTTATGCCTCCACCAGTGCGAAACTGAGTGACAAATCCCGTTATGATTACTTTGCCCGGACTGTACCCCCAGACTTCTACCAAGCCAAAGCCATTGCTGAGATCCTACGCTATTTCAACTGGACGTACGTCTCCACCGTTGCCTCAGAGGGCGATTACGGCGAGACGGGTATCGACGCCTTTCAGCAAGAGGCCCGGGCTTTGCAAATCTGCATCGCCACGTCTGCCAAGGTCAGCCGCTCCATGGACCGATTCAGTTACGATGGAGTAATCAGGTCTCTGCTGCAGAAGTCCAACGCTAAAGTGGTGATCCTCTTCACCAGAAGTGAAGACGCAAGAGAGCTCTTGGTTGCAGCGAAGCGCATGAACGTCTCCTTCATCTGGGTGGCCAGCGATGGCTGGGGGGCGCAGGAGAGTGTGGTGAGAGGGAGCGAGAATGTAGCGGATGGAGCTTTCACCATTGAGTTGGCGTCCTATCCGATCCCTGAATTCGCGACGTACTTCACAAACCTCAATCCTTACAACAACACACGTAACCCCTGGTTCAGAGAGTTCTGGGAAAACCGCTTTCAGTGTAGCCTGCACGACATTAATTGCGGGAAATATTCTCTCCGGGACGGCAAATTCGAGCAGGAGTCCAAGATCATGTTTGTGGTCAATGCTGTCTACGCTATGGCCCATGCCCTTCACAACATGAGACAAGCACTGTGCTCAAATACCACCAAACTCTGCAGTGCCATGAAACCAGTGAACGGAAAAAAGCTGTACAAGGAGTACATCCTGAAGATCAATTTTGACTGTGAGTTTTAGATTATTCATTTATGTTCACTTTATATTCAGAGGTAGTTCAGCCAAAAATTGAACCCTGTTATTAACTCACCTTCGTGTCATTTCAATTCAATAGGATTTTTTCTTCTATGAAAACAAAAGCAGAAAAGACTAAACAGCACCATAAAACTATAATAAGGATGGTCCATGTGACTTGGTCCTGTATTTCCAATATATTTCAATAGATTTGTGCAAGGAACAGAATAAAATATAATCACCAAGTAAATATTTACCAAAATCTTCAATTATAGTGCTTATACCTTTGTCTTATATCTCTACTGACTGTGATGCGCCAACATTAAATATGACAATTTCCATATATACAGTACATACAGTACACACACACACACACATATTATAAAAAAAACTGTAAATAAAAAAAATCTAAACAATATATAAGTCCAACAATTTCAACATCCTTTTTAGTTGATTTAGCTATTATTATATTTATGGATGACCATATGCAGTTTTTAATCATTTTGAATCCTGGGATCTAGCTTATTTTCATTTTATCACTATAGCATGCAAAGAATAAAGTTAAAACATTGCACTTATCTAGTAGTTTAAATCTCAACACAAACACTATTTTTTTATCAGTATATCTTAATAAATGTATGTCTGCTCTTTGTTTAGTAAAAGAAATCAATTTGAAAGATAAATGGATCTAGGAAGTTCCCCTTAGGGGAAAACTGCTGCTGTAAAATAGATTACACGAATGCATGAATCCAACACATGACCTGTGCACAGTGTGTTTTATTACAAACAAGTGTTTTATTACATGCATTAGCCTCATTAACCCCTTGCTAACTTCCAAATGATTGAAACAAGTACAAGCAGGGATGTATTAAATGTCTGTGTGCCGAGTGGTCAATTGCTTGTATTAGGGAACTGATGGCAGTCTGTCGAGTTCCTATAGCTATTCTTCATCTATTTCTTTGTTATGTTTCATTTTTATGTTCTTCCAAGAATGACAAATTACATCATAGAAACCAGGCGATGTATCAACCGCCTGACTTCCATTATGTAAATGAACCATTCGCACCTGAGTCCACTGCATCTAAAACCTAATGTAAAATAGTGAGGGCAGAATGCTGAAGAAAGTAGGGTGGACTCACAAAAGACGGCCTTTCTGGGTTGGACATGTTCTGCTCACAAAGAAAAACACTTTGCTGCTGTAAAATATCTTTTTATCTGTTGCCAAGAATGTAAATAAATTATGTTTATCATTTGCCCTTTGTGTCCGCAGCTCCATTTCGCCCCGCAGATACAGAAAACAACGTTCACTTTGATGCTTATGGAGACAGTCTGGGCCGCTACAACATCTTCCATTATCACAAAGAGAATGATGGCTATGTCTATAGGAAAGTGGGATATTGGGCTCGGGATTTAAGTCTGAACACAAGCTTGATTCCTTGGGAAAGCCAAGTGGTGCCCACATCCCAATGCAGCGACCCATGTAGGAAAAACGAAATAAAGAGCATGCAGCCCGGTGACGTTTGCTGTTGGATTTGCATTCCCTGCCAGCACTACCAGTACCTCCAGGACGAATTCACCTGTGCGGATTGTGGCTTCGGACTATGGCCTCTGGACAATCTCACGGGCTGCTACAACTTACCAGAAGAGTACATTCATTGGGAGGACGCTTGGGCTATTGGGCCGGTCACCATCTCTTGCCTTGGCATGCTCTGCACGCTCTTTGTCATCGGCCTCTTCATAAAGAACAATGAGACCCCGGTGGTGAAAGCAAGCGGACGCGAACTTTCCTATATTCTTCTGTTAGGTGTCCTCCTTTGCTATTGCATGACCTTCATCTACATCAGCAAACCCTCTGCCGTAGTGTGCACGTTACGGCGGCTCGGCCTGGGCACTTCCTTCGCCGTTTGCTACTCGGCGTTGCTGACCAAGACCAACCGCATCGCTCGGATTTTCAACGGCGTCAAGGATGGAGCTCAAAGGCCGAGGTTCATCAGTCCAGCTTCACAGGTGGCCATCTGTGCTGGTCTGATTTCTTGTCAGCTCCTGGTGGTTGTGGTCTGGCTTCTGGTTGAGGCTCCAGGGGTGAGAAAGGAGGTCAGTCCTGAAAGAAGAGACGTGGTGACATTGAAGTGCAACAGCAAGGATTCTAGCATGCTGATGTCTTTAACCTACAACTGTGTCCTCATCATCCTCTGTACATTTTACGCCTTTAAGACTCGAAAGTGCCCAGAGAACTTCAATGAAGCCAAGTTCATCGGCTTCACCATGTACACCACGTGCATAATCTGGCTGGCTTTCCAGCCGATCTTCTATGTTACTGCCAGTGACTATAGGGTAAGTGAATATGAGCTGTACAATGCATGATTGTGACAATACCTAACTAACGGCATTTAATAGCTTGTCAGCTTGTTAATAGCCTCTAAATAAGATTTACGCTCGAGTCAAATTGAAATGACTTTTGCAACCCATTTGACTTCCATATGATGTTGTATATCTGAGTGCAACAGGATATTCAGCAGGATGAAAATATGTAAAAGATGAAGGAATTTCATTGAGTTACTAGATTGTAAAAAGTATTGTAGAACAGAACAGAGCCAGGTGGTTTATAGGAGAAGCATTGAAACTTAGAGGGATTTGTGGCGTCTGGCCAAAACAAAAAGTCACTTCAGAGATAGAGCTTATATTATATTATATTATATTATATTATATTATATTATATTATATTATATTATATTATATTATATTATATTATATTATATTATATTATATTATATTATATTATATTATAACGCAATATATATTATAACGCATTCTCACCCCAAGGTGTCACCTTTGACCATGCTTCAATATTTGACGTTTTAGGCGCCCTATAGAGTCACTTACATGACGCGATCCTAGGGCATCATCTAACTGGCGCTAAAGGGCGCCTAAAACGTCAAATATTGAAGCATGTCCAAATGCTTCCCAAGGCGTCAGTTAAGTGACGCCTTGGGGGTGAGAATGGGCTGTATATTATATTATATTATATTATATTATATTATATTATATTATATTATATTATATATTATATTATATTATATTATATTATATTATATATTATATTATATTATATTATATTATATTATATTATATTATATTATATTTAGAATGTTACAAGAGACATTTATTTGAAAAAAAAAATTTGAGTTATGACAATTTAACCATATATTCAACCAACAAACTTCATTGAGTTAGAGGAACTTAATAATTTGTAACAAAAACACAACATTTTTAAGTTGATTAATCTTATTTATTTCAGTTCAACCCACAACTCATATACGTAGCACATGCTAAATGTAAATGTTATTTAACATGCCAATTTACTTTTTCACTTGCATTAGCACAATCTTTGCATTTTCAAAAGCTATCTGAACATCTTAACAATCTTTTGAATGTGTATATGTTTGTAAAGTGCTCTGATGAATTGTCAACAATAGGACCAGTAGCAAAAACAAAAATGAATGAATGGACGAATGAACGACCGAACAAACAAATGAACAAATGAATGAATTATTTTTAGTTGACTTTAAATTATGCAAAATCATTTATTTATTTTTCATTTTTTTAATTGCAAAAACGAGTGGTACAGATATTGTGGTTTACAGATATGTTTTTTTAATCTTGTGTGTGAGGACCACAATATCATTTTACATAGTTTACATAGTATAGTTTCTCTGAACATATCTTTAAATGTAATTTATGCTCAATATAGTTGAGATTTAGCTATGCTATAGTCTTTAAAAGTTCTGACAGATTGTCAATGAATGCCATGCTTGAGTGTTCTGTATAACAATGTGATTTCTTCGAGAAGTAAATCTTGTGCCGGGGGGATATTACCGGCTCTCCTCTGGGAAAAGATATCAGAGGGGCTGTCTCAAATCACACTGCACACACAATGACAGCATGGAATATTTTTTCATCATTTAGATAATGAGCTTCTCTTATAACCCTTAATCACTTTCCGACAGTGACTTTATCCTTTATTTTTAGCATATATACAATTTTCCTGAGAGCGCGAGACTGAGAGTTTGCCTGATTGATTTTTTTTTGTTACCATACCTGCCAATTCAGATGGCAGATAGAAAAATCTCTTTGATCCCCTGTCTTTTGCGCTGATGAAAGGAGAAGCTCACATTTCATGTGGCTCAAAAGCTGTGTAGAACAAAGAAAGTGGGGATCTTTCTTCCTGGTGAATTACTAGCCTATGAAAACATGCTATTCAGTTGGTCTGAGTACATCCTTCAGTCAAGTACCTCAGGACAGATGCCATTAAACACTCTTACATTTGACAACTATTATTTTATTTCTTTCTAAGTTTTAACACTTTGATGCATGATTTATTATATTGAAAGAAAAAGCCCCAATGTTTATTTTCAAAAAACAATAATAAAATCATTTCCAAAGATTTTAATGCTTATTTATTTATTTATTTATTTCATCACCCATTGGTGATTTGAAAGTAACATCAATTAACATCAAAGAATTAAAGGGTCTCATATTTTTGAATGCTGATTTTTTTTCTTAATTATTATTAATATTAGTTATTAATAGTTTTTTTTAAACACACATAGTTTTGAGGTAACATTAAACATCGATTGGTCAAAATTCAATCAAAGAGTTACAGTGCAACAGTGCAAAACCAGATTTCCATTTGCAGTTTTCTCGTCTGAGTGTTTGATTGCGTATGAGTCGTTCCAGTTTTTCACTCTGGAGATTTTGTTAAAGAAACACACATAGTTTTGAGGTAACATTAAACATCGATTGGTCAAAATTCAATCAAAGAGTTACAGTGCAACAGAAACTTACTTGCTATATATGATTTTTATATGTGTGCATCCAGAATAGTCTGCACACTGCTGGTTAAAACGGCCGTTGTACGTGGCATTTGGATGCTCCAGTGAGCAAAAAAGAGGAAAGAAACATGATCAGGATATGTTATGGCTGTAGGGAGCTTCTGTAAGGGTCAGTTCTACATCATCCATCAAGACTAGACGAAAGGATACAGAAAGCAAAAAGTCAGAAGGCCTCAGGAGAGAGAAGGGAATCTCCTTGAGCTCTGATTGGACAGGATGTCACTCTCTGTTCAGGGTTTCCAGGTTTTATATTCATGTTTGTGTGTGTGTGTGTGTGGTGATGTGTTAGAGCATGGGAGAATGATTCCCAGCTGGGGCCTGTGCTCAGAAAGCAAGGTGTGCCTTAGAGGCCGAGACCTCGCCACAATCTCACACACACTCACAGGAAATGCAACAGCCTCATACATCCCGCAGATATCATTTTTAGTTGTATAATTTCTTCTCACCCACCAACTACAGTGTTGATGTGCAGATGAAAAAGCACATGCCAGTTAAGATTTATATGATAAATATTTGATCTTCAGAATCAAATATAAACCACAATGCAGAACCAAAATAAATTTGAAGTATAAACTTTCAATTTTCTTTAAGAAATTCATATTTTCATTCAGCAAGGACACATTAAATCAAAAGTTAAAGTAGATAATGTTGAACAAGGTTTATATTTCAAATAAACGATGATCTTTCAATTTATCAGAGATTCCTGAATTAAATGTATTACAGGAAACAACATTGATTCCAATAAGAAAAGTTTCTTGAGCAGCAAATCGTCATATAATAATGATTTCTGAAGGATCTTGACTGAAGACGGGGGGTAATGATGCTGAAAATTCAGCTTTGCCAACTAATAATTTACATTTTTAAATATTTTCATTTAGGGAATGCTATTTTACATTGTAAAAATATTTCACAATATTGTGTTTGTTAAGTTGGATCAAATAAATGAACAGAATGGAATTCTTTCAAAAACATTACAAAAACGTACAGACCCCAAACCTTGTCAACAGTAGTTTATATTAAACTACAGAATACCGTGATTGGTCAAAATGAATTATTCTTGAGCCATGTAATATTTTTTGAGTCTCTTTGAAAACCAGATTTCCATTTGCAGTTTTCTCGTCTGAGTGTTTGATTGCGTATGAGTCGTTCCAGTTTTTCACTCTGGAGATTTTGTTAAAGAATAATGATGATCAATTATAGAGGAAAAACAGACTACAGCATATGTCTCATTCAGTGGGATATATATAAAAGTGCATGTTTATGGAGACAAGTGCCAGGCTTGCTGGAAAAGCATACCTTTCCAGGCAAAGCTTTCTGAACGATGCATTATTTAAAGCATTTTTGGTGTATTCTGACGCATTGCCGCTCTCACAAAAACACTTTTAAATCTATTGTACTGAAGAACGAATGAGGTACTCTTTGTTAATTTGCTATTGAGGAAAAAAAAACTATAATTCAGTGCAGCTGAACCATGAAGTTTCTCCAATGCTTGACCTTGAGGGGGGTGTTTATATAGCTTTTAGTATTGTGTTGCCCAACTGAAAGAGGATAGCAATGGCATGGCCGTGGATTTGAAACCCAGGGAATGCACATAAAAATGTCTAGCTTGAATGCTCATCAATTTAGATAAAAGTATCTGCCAAGTAAAATGTAGCCTACAATGAGACAAAGCAAACATCTTAGAAACGGTTCCTGTTGATTCACCCCCTCTCTCATCAAAATGTTATTTGGCGATGTATGCCTCTAATACCTGTATTAGTATGCATGAGATACACGGCACACACACCTGCTTTGCACATGGATTCATCCTTTTAAGATACATCTTTAGCCACATAGGCTATGGCAACACTTTTGGAATCGAGTTCAATGGAAAATAAATTCAATCCCATGTTAACATCCCTGCTGAATATGAATAAGCCAGTCAGGTGATATCATGGTGTAAATGTAATCGCTTTTTTCTTGTGTCTACTCTCTCAGGTACAGACCACTACCATGTGCATCTCTGTGAGTCTGAGTGGTTCAGTGGTGCTGGGATGCCTGTTTGCTCCCAAGATCCACATCATCCTCTTCCAGCCCCAGAAGAACGTCAGTACGCTCAGAGTGGCCACCACTCGATTCAGTGTGACCACTGGCCCTGGCTCCAGCTTCTCTCAAGGTACAGTATCATTTATGATCTCTGTCTTGCATCATCGTCAATATAATCAATCAACAGCAGCAGTTGTTTAAATCAAGCTTTTTGATCAATTCGTTTCACCCATATTCGAAAATATGGATTGGCAATGTCATAACTCAGTACTGTAAAATCAAAATATTCAGTACTGTATGATGGTAGAGTAATATTGGAGCAGAACATAAAGTATCATTGGCCCTGTGAGAGCAGATTTGGCTTTATTGGATTACATTGATATTACTGGAGCACTGAAACATCCCTGAACGCAGGATATAGAGTGCATATGTGAATCCCTAAAAATTCATTTCACCATTTCACCTCAAAATCAAGTGACAATAAATAATATTTACCATTATGATGTAATTTTTACTCATAAACTACTCATTCTCAGTGACATTAATAAATATATTTTAAATTGTAAAAATTTAAATTTCTAATAAAAAAACAAAACAAAAAAAAACATTTCATTACAAAAAAATATATAATATGTTGTAATAAAAATATAAGGAGAATCAACAATGAAATTGCAAAAAAAAATCTATAAATTAGAAATTATAAAATTGGGTGGAAAAAAGTTAATTATGATGAAAATAATGTCAAAATGCAAAACAAAAAGTAAAAAAATAAAATAAAAAAAATATTTTCCATACAATGTTTTAATAATATATTAAATAAAAATATGGTTTAATGAGATTCACCCATACATTGAATGGCAATGGCGATACACTGTGATTTGCAACTTACGATATCTTTATATTATTAAAAATGTCTTTACAGCCTCGGCCTCCAACGTAGTGCCTACAGTATGTAATGGCAGAGAGGTAGTGGACTCAACAACATCGTCACTCTGAGAAACAGCATTCCTGTTTGTTTGCCAAATGCAGTATACAGATAAATCTTATCTTCACTAGTCATGAAATCAAGTGTTTGCTAATGTTGAGGAGGCTATTCGGAATAAAGAATGCCTGTTATGTTGTTCTCAACGTGATGTGAGTACAATATCCCATTTTGTTTCTCTCTCTCTCTCTCTCTCTCTCTCTCTCTCTCTCTCTCTCTCTCTCTCTCTCTCTCTCTCTCTCTCTCTCTCTCTCTCTCTCTCTCTCTCTCTCTCTCTCTCTGACTAGTTAGATGATATCAGTGGGATGCCAGTTTAAACTCTGTATACCTGTTCTTTTTATGGAAACCATAATAAAGTATTGTTTGAGATGGAGTTAAGATATAGTAAATCTGTTTAAAGTATTATATACAAGATGTTTTTAATGTAGATTTATGGTGATTCTGGTTTGTGCTTTCTTGTAATTTATGTAAATAAAATGTGTTTTATATGAATACAAGCTCTCCTGGTCGTTTTAACTTGATAATGTATACATTTGTTCAATTAAGAAAATGACACACATCGACATCGGCTTTAAAAGAATTCAATATGCAATGTTCGTGGTATACAGAAACTTGTACATTGTCCCCATCTAGAGGATGTAGGTGCTCATCACATCAAATTGGTTGAGGTTAAACATTGGGTTTTAATATTAATTTGTCTTTTATGTTAAATGCTAATTTGTTGCACTGTATAAAACAATACCCTGAGTAACCCTTTTAAAATACAGGTGATTTGCAAGTGCAATAAATGATGTTCCTAATGTCATTGCGCATACAGTCATTTAGCAACCATAAATAAATAAATAAACCAGTCGGAAAAATAAAAAGACAAAATGCTGCTATTACTGCACTATAAATGTAATTTACACACATCAGTCTACCGAAGGACCATGTCTCATAGACAAAACATTATATTCTTTATATCCTTTATATTTATATCCTTCATCTAATAACAATGTCCACATTTGCAGGCTATCACTGACCCATAATTTATATATTGCACACTCAAGCACTGGTGGTGAAATGACAATATATATATATATATATATATATATATATATATATATATATATATATATATATATATATATATATATTTGTGTGTGTGTCAGTGTGTGATGGTTATATCTGCAGTCATTTTCTGCCTTAGTATTTAAGCATTTATAAACATTAGGCCGACTACATATTATCCATATCCATGTTCCCACTGGAGGATTTTCATTTTATAAAGTTATTTTTACAACTAAGTATTTTTGTAACTGCTTCCATTCAAGCACAAAGCCAGCATTATAGCTTACTAGTAAGTACAAAGGTTGGATGTTGGACTAAAATTATTTATTTTGTAGCAAAAAAACAAACAAACACAAAAAACATGTAAAAATAAATAAATAAAATAAAAATATAATAATTTTGTTTTAGCAGGATGTCCCTTTTAAATACATAAGAACCTTGCAAATTTGTATCATTAAAAACAAAAAAAACATATATCTCACTGTATGTGAGGGAAGGGCTGTGACGTAAAGTGTCAGAAACACGGAAGTCAGGCTGAAGGCAGTCCCGAACCTGAACAGTCACATACAGAGGTCCCGTCTATGATGTGACAGTGAATCTGCAAACTTTCTCAGCACCCCCACTAGCAGGTAAGTATCATTCTATCTGACTAATAATAAAATCTCGAAATTGCTCGCCGTGTTCCTGAACACATGCGATTTCACATATTTCACATTTATTTGTTATTTATTGTTGACGAGACGCGCCCCCTAATTTCTATGAATCCGTTTCCAGTGCCTGATAGGCTACTTTAAACTCCGCACATGTCTCAGACTGTTTTGATTTATTGTTTACCATATTTAAACATTTGATGTCATACCATTCCTAAACCGTGTCTTTGAAAAAATGGTTATTTAGATATACATAAATAAAGAAATATCTGCTATAGCCTATTTTCTGAAATTGTCAGGTGTCCAACTGTACATGTTATAGAAGTTACACGATACATTTCTCAAAGGTGAAAGGTGAAATAAATTCACCTATATTTTAAATTAATTGAGATATTGTGATAAAAGTAAGCTAAAATCATTTTTAAATGAATTTAAAATCGCATGCAGTTGTATGTCTTACCTAAAGTGAGTGACTCACTTTAAATGAGTCACTAAATGACTCCATAACTATTGATCAGTTGTTTATTGAATGGTTATACTATATTTAAAACATCATATGATTATGAACAGAGAAGAAAGAGGATGGCACCTAAGAGAAGGGCAACATCAAGCACCAAAGCTGGAGGGAAGAAGATAAAGGGGGAACCTGAAGCTCCACCAAAGGACAAGTTCACCTCTGCCAAAGAGGCCCTGAAGGCAAAAGGAGCCCAGGTGAAGGCCACGAGGAACCCTGACAGCTTCTGTCATCTATCAGATGCTAAGGTGAGCCCGAATAAGTGGTTAAACAGTTTTCAGTCGAACGTGCAAATTATTGCTTGCCCTGAATCACAGAAAAAATCTTCTGTGATCCTAACCCTCAGGTTCATGACGATTACGACTGCATGCTAAATCAAACTAACATTGGAAACAACAACAACAAATTCTATGTAGCCCAAGTCTTGGTGTCTGGAGGGAAGTACTATTGCTGGACAAGATGGGGCAGAGTGGTACGTTGCTTTATCTTTTTTTTTTTTTCCATCAAATATGTCACAGCATAATGTGCATAAATGCTCTAATGGATGACGTACTTTTCCTGTCCTTCTCTGTTTTCAGGGAGAGTCAGGCCAAAACAATTTAGCTGGTCCATCTACCGCTGATGCAGCCGTTAAGTGTTTCGAAAAGAAATTCAAAGATAAGACCAAGAATAACTGGAGCGATCGAGAAAACTTTGTCTCGCATTCTGGAAAGTACACATTGATAGAGGTAGATGGGGACCAGGATGCAGAAGTGAAGGTAATTTAGCTGGTTCATCAGGTTGTGCAGCATTTAATGAACTTTGTTACATTCTTAATTAAAGCTATGTCCTTGTTATTGTCAAAAGACTAACACATTTGACAGTTTGTAATGTTTTGTGTTTCCTGCAGGTGGATACTGTAGACGGTGGAGATGTGAAGGTGAAAAGCGAACAACAAGTTCTGCCTTGTAAGCTGGATGAAGCAACTCAAAGGCTCATCCGATTCATATTCGACAATGACATGTTCAAAGAAGCCATGTCCAGCATGAACCTGGGTTAGTTTATTGTGGTATAGCCTTGATTCATTAGGCCGTGTGTCCACCAAAGCGTTTTTAGCCAGCTGAAAACGTAGTTTTGGGCGCTTGAGAGCGCTTCGACAGTGCAGCGTTTTTTTTCTGTTTAGATGCTTTATCTGCTATGATACAAAATATCTCAATTTATAGGATCTTATTTTTACAGAAATTTTTTTTTTTTTTGGTATTGTTTCTATATAAAAGTTTGAAGTGGCTCTTGTTTTAAATACGTTTTTGCTATTATGCTTATTTTTGTCATCTGTTGACATTGGTTGGTGTTGTTTTTGTCCTGCCCCTCCTCCACTGTGATTGGATGGCTGGGTAAAACGTGACAGTGATGAGAGCTGTGTACCCATAGTTGAACATTCTTCAACTCTCGGCATCCGGTAAAAAGTGATTGAGTGTGAAATAGATGCTCAGTGTCTTGCTACGCTCCTGGCGTTTTAAAGGTGCCCTAGAATGTGAAATTGAATTAATTTTGGTATGTTTGATCTAAAAAACATACTCGCATTATAAGGGCAACCTAGGAAACATTATAAAATGATTAAAAAAAAACATTCTAGGGCACTTTTAAAAACACGCCGCTCCCATTGAAAACAATTGGACAAATACGCTAGCTGCGGGAAAAACGGCCTTAAAGGTGGACACATGGCCTTAAAGTCCCCAATTATGCTATTTTAAATGGTTCCTTTTTGTTTTTGAGGTCGCAAACAATAGGTTTACATGCATCCAAGGTCATTCATTTTCTCATTGCAGCATCACAGTGTCTGAAACAGCTCGATCAAAGATTCTGCCTCTCTAAATGTTATGCAAATTCTGTACAAAACTATGTTGGTTTGTGCAGGAAGTAATACTGGAATTACTGAGGACTCATTTCAGGCAGTTCAAAATCTGCTTTTTGGGGGGGGGATACAATAACTCAATTTGTTGACTTTGATCTTTGAAGCTTTGCAGACCTTAGACATTCACAAACAGCTGAATTACACACTACATGTACTGTAAGTTAATATGTGAGGAAGCATAATAGAGGCACTGTATGTCCCAGTTCTTCTGTTCCTTTCAATAGCCATGTTACTGTGGTTCTTTTAGAACTTGTTTTTGATAGCTGGGAAAAACACAATGAAATATACTTCAGTTCACTCAGGGATTCATTTCCCTGAGTGATCGTTGTGTTTCTGAAAGCCACAGGGGGGTTTGGCATTGTGATTGTAAACTTAAAGGAGAACTCTGGCGCAAAATGAACCTTTGGTCTAATAAAACTTTGGTACCTAGTTGGCACTAAACTGTTTAGTGTATAATGCTAGTATATGGGGGCATTTATTAAGTAAAAATAAATCGCTAGTTAATACCACTAACAAGGCTCAAAATAGCCCCACACTAACAGAGTAACATGATGAGGGTCCATACATGCAAAACGAAGCATTGAGAACTTTGTAAGTGTACAGACTGTTTAAAAAGAAGATACTTTATAAAGAGTCCACTTCGTGTATACATGCGGCGCCATCTTGGGAAAACAGTCTCAACAAGTCGAACCACGAATGACGTGCCAAGTGAGCTGAACTGTATGAAGTTCAGCGAACTTCTGAACTTTATGAACAGCATTTGTGGTTCGACTTGTCGAGACTGTTTCCTCCTGCCTGTATACACGAAGTGGACTGTCTTTATAAAGTATCTTCTTATTAAATGGTCTGTACACTTAAGTTCTCAATGCTTCATTTTGCATGTAGGGACCCTCATTATGTTACTGTGTTAGTGTGGGGCTATTTTGAGCCTTGTTATTTCTTTTTACTTATTATATGCCCCCATATACTAGTGTTATACGCTAAACAGTTTTTAGAGATAAAACTCTTTACATTCGATTATCATGAAAACAAATCTCAGCGAACGGTCGACAAGGTACCAATGTTTTAGTAATCCAAAGGTTCATTTTGCGCCGGAGTTCTCCTTTAAGATGGGATTTTTTGCTGCCTATTTGAGCCCTATCTACCACTTTTCTGAGCTCCATCTGTAAGACGGAGATGGATAGGATCCATTTTTTGTAAAGGAGTGTCATGTGTCATATATTTCTCTGTCAGATATTAAGAAGATGCCTTTGGGGAAACTCAGCAAGCAGCAGATAGCCAAAGGCTTTGAGGCTTTGGAGGAAATTGAAGCCGCAATAAAGAAGGGGGAACGCAACATGTTAGAAGAACTCACCAACAAATTCTTCACCATTATTCCTCATAACTTTGGCCGCAACAGACCCCCTGTCATCTCTGATGATGCTGTTCTTCAGGGCAAGAAGGAGATGCTTTTGGTGAGATACATAGCAGTTACTGTGCACTGAGAATGTTTCGGTTTCATGAAATAGGGGCTAGTTGTCACACTTTTTAAAGTGAATATTTCTTAGAATATTTATTTGTTAAATCGTACAATGTTTGGATACAAAAATAAACATTGATCTTGTGTGTTTTTAATGGCCAATATAGAGTGCTTTCATTGCCATCTCGATAAGAGTGACCAAAATCCAAACTTTCTTTTGCTTGTATCTTGTAGGTTCTTGCCGACATCGAGGTTGCCCAGAGTCTTAAAGCTGAATCTGAGAAAGCCACAGAAGAAATGAAGGACGTGGTGCCTCATCCCATTGACCAAAATTTCCAGTCTCTGAAATGCAAGCTAAGTTTGCTGGATAAGAAATCGAAGGAATATAAGGTTTCAATACACAGCAACATTTATAGTCCACAATGGAAATCAGGAATTAAAAATCTAATTTAAATCTGGGAATCATACTTTTTAAAATAATTAATGGTGCAGTGCTTATTATCAGCACTGTCAGCATTATCAGAATGTCTTACTTAAGAATATGACCTAGAAATATTATAATAGCAAAATTGTAATTATTGTATGTAAATATTGAAATGTATTGTAAATGTCAACTTTTAAACATTTTTTTTTAAATGTTTGATTCCCAGATTTAAATGAAAATTGCTTTTAAAAATATTAAAAACATTATGAATGATTTTGTACTACTTAACTGTTGCTTTTTAAAGTCTTTAAGTTATGAGTTATGGACATTTACACAGCTTGATAAAAGAAATTGATGTATAGAATTGGGTTTAAAAAATTGCAGTATGCTCAGAAGTTCCTTTCTCTTTCTCTTTTTTGTATGTAAGATAATTGAGAAGTACTTGAATGCCACTGGACGCAAAGGACTCACTTTAGTGGACGTCTGGGAAGTTGAAAGAGATACAGAGGTGAATAGTATTGCGTAATTTAAGTTTAAAGTTTATATATAGTAAGCAGTAAATGATAAAAGTAAACTCGTAAATGTCAAAAAAGCGCAAATACACTGTAATTTTTTCCATTAGAACTCCTGTTAGGTTCCCATTAGATTTGTAATTTCATTTTAAACCAGCAGTGAACACTCGGCCTCAGTGGGTGTAGAATTCACTCAGTGGGTGTTGATGTTGTTCATTACTGAGTCTTATTATCCTAATTAAATCCTGTGTATGTGCGTGCATGTGTGCATTTGCTTGTGTAGGCTGAGCGCTTCAGGGAAAATGATGCATTGGAGAACAGGAAGCTGCTTTGGCATGGAACAAACGTGGCCGTGGTTGCAGCCATTCTGAAGAGTGGACTTCGTATAATGCCCCATTCTGGTGGCCGTGTGGGCAGGGGAATCTATTTTGCCTCTGAAAGCAGCATGTCTGCTGGCTATGGTGAGAAACAGGACCTTCTTTGCATCAGTATAAAAGAACAATATAAACACATATAAAGTTTGCAACACAATGGCAAGGGTTGCTTGTAGAAAGGCTGGGCGATAAATCGATTTTATCGATTAACTTGAAAGTGTAGTTTACGTCGACTTGTTTGAATGAAAATCAGTTTTCTCTTTAACATTTGCCGATGCTGCCTTCTGGACTCCCGTAGTTCCGAACGGGCTCACCCTTTGCCATAGAGATACATAAACAACATTGCAAATGAACAAGACCGCAGCAGCACAAGCACACCAGCCAAAAACATTTACAAACTAAATGTTACAAACTAAATAAAAAATCGCGAAGAAGAGGACACTGACACCGACAGACAAGACAGTGAAGGTTACTATTGTTATGAAACAAATTCTCAGCTCTCAGATTCGGACAATTTAATTAGGAAATTCAAACAATGAACACCGTTTTGGCGCTTGTAAAAGTGCAGATTGCTGACAGATCTCAGTTCAAGCGGCAGGTGAACCGATCATCTGTTACTCTTTACTACTTGTTAGTAAATGTTAAATAAACACGAATGATCAATAGGTAATTTGAAAGATACAGTTCAACTTACCGAAATGTAATAAAATCCATCGATGAGTGTTTTTCAACGGCAGAAAGTGGTCCATAAAACAGCTGGAGAACAATGTTACATTACGCTATGTCCCTCAGGAAAGCCATAATGACCTTAGCATGTTAGTTGGACTTAAAAATTGCTAAAAATTGCTATAGAGAGGAGTATTTTGCTAAATATGACTATATTATATATTTATTATATTTTTACCTACTTATATCATTAAAATATAATAGCATTGTTATAAAAAATGCATTATATTTGATTTGAGATGTTATTTTTAACCTTTAATAATAATACCAGCTGACAGGGCTCTGTATGTTTACAGCATTAGTACAGTATTAATATATATATATATATATATATATATATTAAAAAATATCACAAAAAAATAATTTAAAAATTATATATATATATATATATATATATATAATTTTTTAAAAAAATTTTATATACATATATATATATATATATCATTTTTTAATTTTTTTTTATTTTTATTTTTTTGTGAAAAATTAACATAACACATTAACGCATCTACTGTCCCTAATATTTATCCAAACTGGACTCGATATTGAATCAAGATTAAAGAAATTGTGAAATTTGTGTCGAGCAATAATATAAACAGTAGCATGCCAGTCATTGTACCATGTAAACATTGTGTTGTCACAAAACTTAATACAATTCTGTTTAGTTACCAAATGTTTTGGCAATCACAAGACACTTATTGTATTTTATGTCACCATTTTATGTTATGTCACGCTACAGTACGCTACAGCTGTATGTTATGTTACATGTTCACTGTTTACAAAGGCAGGGCCTGCCATCTTGTCTTTTGGGCTTGTTGTTTCTGATTGCACTTTAACCCCAAGGGGGAAATCCAGATCAAATCCCAGAAAGGAATATCAAAACAAAATAAAGTTAAAACTTGTTTTGAACTATTTCTGTGTCATCTGCAGATTGATTGTAAGTATGGGGGAAAAAATCTATTTAAATTGTAATTCAGATTTTTTGTGAAAAATCTGGGATTTTTTTTTTTTCGTCCAGCCTTACCTTTTGATAATTATTTCCCTGCATTCCCTCCATTTCCAGGAACAATTGGTAATGTCGTAGACGCTATTAGGCACTTTTATCTCTAAAATAATTTTCATTGTGTTTGCAGTGCATCCATCAAACAACATCGGCATCATGTTTCTAAATGAAGTTGCTTTGGGAAAAGAGTACACCATCACGCAGGATGATTCCAGCTTAAGGAAGCCCCCTGCTGGCTATGACAGCGTAATTGCACGCGGACGCCAAGAACCAGGTTTTTCCAAATATAATCAAAACTCATTACTCATTTCTCTTTACAGACTTGTAGATTTAGTTAAATTCTGCATAACATTAGTTTGTTAGCAATTTCAGTGTCCGTTTTTTTCTTCTTCTTCAGATCACTCAAAAAATGTCTTCATTGAGTTTGATGGTAAAAAGGTAGCAGTTCCTCAGGGAAAAGCCATAAAACAGCAGCAGTACGAAGGAAGTTACTTCTACAACAGTGAGTACCTCATCTATAAGGAAAGCCAGAGTCGCATCCGGTACCTCCTGGAGTTGAACTTCAATTAGCTGATTTGAAAACATGGAACTGTATCTACATATCTGTTATGTGGTTTCATGCTCACATACTGTATAAAGCATTGAATGTTTGAGTTAATTAGTCGGAATGTCTAAGTAATATTTGATAATTACATTGCATCTTTATCATGTACTGTAAACTTTGGTTGGTACAGCCTTACGGTATGTTTACTCATTGTTATTCATATTAGAAATATCGCTGCAGGTTTCTGTACTGTCAAAAAAAAAACAAGTTAGTATGTTCACCTTTAAACATTTGAAAAATGTTGAATAAATGTGTTTTTTTTATTTTAAAGACGATAACGTTTTCTAAAAGGGCTAAAATGAAGGGAATATAAAATATTGTGATTGCTTTTTTCAAGCTTGTTTGGAATTTTTCCCGTTAAATTTAATACTCTTATTTTACAGAGTATTTAAAATATATTTCTAATGTATGACCAAAGCATAATTAATTTTGTTAAGAGTGTATTTTCTTTTCTAAAATTGTCATTTCTTTTAAGTTTATGTTCATGCAAGCTTCTCATACATGGCTTACAAGTCTATATGCTAATACGGCCCTTTATTTTTGTTTGGTCAGATGTTTCTTTTATCAAGCATTTGTTTGAAGCTCTTTTATAATCATATTGCAAGGTAATAGATATTATTCCATTGTTATATATTTTTCTCTTTTATGTTGTGCTGAGCTTTGAAGTGAAGTTAACGTTAATGTAACTGCTTAGTACTGAAAAAAAAAAACCTGAAGATAATAAATTATTATAATTATTTACTTGCACTGTTGTGTTCTCCTTTTAACCAGTAGATGTCACTTTTCAAAATGCAAAGGTTTTATTTAAACATGTCCCATTAGAAAATATATTTAAATATTCAAATTCTGCGAAACGGAAGTTGCCATAGTTTTTTCCCCTTTTGTGACCTATATCTGAGTGAAATGACTTCTCCAAAATAATGTAGGACTTGATTTTGTCCAGTCGGAATTGGTTTTCTATTGCTGTGATGTAATGTGAGTGATTGGATGTCCCGCCATCGTACCAGTAAACATCATCAAAGAAGATAAGAGAAGATGATGCAAGAAGGAGGGGAATTATTTTGATTAAAGATTACGAGGGCAAATGAATAAAACAAAAACAAATGATATGCACAGAAATTATTTATAATAAACTATGATATTCCATAAAAAAAACTGTTGGTGTAATTTTAGTCTGTTGATGCATTTTATTTTATTTTTTTGTAAACTTCTCATATATTTCAAAAATTACTTGGTCGAGCTACAATGGACCATTAAGATATCATTTAGTTTAAGGGTGTGCAGTAGGACCCAGGGGATGACTGCCACACTGGAGGACAGAGGAGTATGTGTCTGTTTGAAAGAGGAAGAAAAAAAAAATCACAGAGATACAATGTGTGACAGTCACAGCCCTCCACAGCACCGGACACTGAGGAAGAGCATCCTGACGGACACCGGCCTAAGTGGTGTGAATACTGATCAACACTACTGGAAACAGGAAGAGCAGGTGGGACCATATCCTTTCTGCTTCACCTGGGTTTTGTTAGATGGAAAGGGAAACCTATCTGAACTTTGCTTCTTAGAGCCGGGGCTTTCCTGGATGATAATACTTTTTGATGGATCATGATCCACTCTGGTTGCTCTCCACTGAACTCACCTGAGATGTCGAGCGGCCTCCTGTGGGCTTGCACTGCACTTGTTTTGATGTCTGCAGAAGTTTCTACACATGTGTAAATACGTCCAGATGTTCAAATCTGATTGGAGAATCAAAGAAAAATCTACGTCCCGGACATCGACAGGTAAGAAAACTCACATTGTCTTTTTTTTTTTCTAATTTTATGTGTCAGGGCTACACGTGGGTATGTCAGAACAGCTGAACACAACCTGACTTGACAGTAGGTCATTTAATTTACTGGAAAATGCGTTTTTGAATTTCTAGTGGGTGGCTAAAAAATACTGGGGCTGTGTTGTCTGTGGGTCGGGGGAGGGGACGGGTCAGCGCATAGTAGGTGGGTGTTGTGGGGAGGCCAAGGCACACAATCAGGTATGACTCATGTGTGACTGACTCCCACTGACAAAAAACAACAACAACTGTCATGTATTCCTCCAACTTCATTGATCTCTGACGGTCAACAACCCATTTGTGCAAAAAAACATGCTCCTGTTGGGTGAAAGCAATCCAACAAGAAAGGACAGGATGTTGTTCTGCCCTCATTAGCATATAGAGAGACCTAGTGAGTGGGTTGGGGAAAAAAACAGATGAGATTTTCCACGAAGACTGAAGTAAAGGGAAATTGACACTGTGATTCTAGGAATGAGCTGTACTATTTTGGATAAATGATTACCAATATGCACTCAGGATTTATTCATTAACTTTGTATGAGGGAATTTCCTTTCCATTTGGACGCAAGTGTTTAATTTATGTATTTAATAGCAGCTTTAGTGTTCTGATAATAATTGCATGTTTAGTTTGACATGAAAGGGAATTTTGCTCTCTCTCACTGAATGATGAGTGATGGAGGCGTTGCAAATTTACATAACTAATCATTATGGGTATGAAACAGTCACCAACCCTTTTAATGGCCCTTTGCACTGAATCATGGCGTAATATTCACTTTCTTTACAACTGTAGGGTTTTAAATAAAAACATTTTTTGATATATTTTGTTTGAAAGCTACGCAGTCACTTTGATATTGACTGTTTTCATTTATTAATAAAACAAGAAAAAATATTATTATTATTTTAAAATTAAATTAATATTTTATATTTATATTTGTAAGTCTTATTTTTGACAAACATGTCTGTTAAATGTATGTAAATGTAAATCTATATCTATATAAGTATCTATAAACTTTGTGACATCCCATGAAATACAGTATTTATAGATCTGCTCGTTTCTTCTCAGAGATGGTTTCAACACAAACGCTTGACAAACTGAAGAGAAAACAACATTTACACATGGAGAATCCTGGTTCTATCTCGAGCCGGTGAAGTATGGAGAAAGCTGTGCCAGGTCTGATGCTGGGTCTCCTGACCAATAACACAACTCCAAATGACACGTCCGGCCAGCGGATCACAACCAAGCCTACCCCTCCCAGCATGGAGGAGGTCATCCACTCGGAATCCCAGATTAAGGATCTTGTTGGGTTGTTTTGCATGGTGACCCTTAACCTGGCAGCACTATTGGGCAACAGCGGAGTCATGGTGGCCATTGCCCGAGCTCCTCACATGAAAAAATATGTGTTTGTTTGTCATCTTTGTGCAGTTGACTTGCTTTGTGCTATATTGTTGATGCCTCTCGGGATAGTGTCTAGTTCTCCGTTCTTTAGCACTGTAGCGTTTACTGTTCTGGAGTGCCAGGTGTACATCTTTTTAAACGTGTTCCTTATCTGTGCCTCTATTCTTACCGTGACTGCGATCAGTATTGAACGCTACTACTATATTGTCCATCCTATGCGATACGAGGTAAAGATGACTCTCAGCCTTGCATTTGGGGTTATGGTCTTCATTTGGGTCAAATCCATCCTGTTGGCTTTGGTTACGCTTCTCGGTTGGCCAGCGTATGGGAACCAGAGCTCCATCGCAGCGGCCCATTGCTCTTTACACTGGAGCCACAGTCGCCTCAGGAAGGTTTTTGCTATTCTCTTCAGCGTGCTTTGCTTCTTGGTCCCTGCTGTTGTGATTTTTACAGTATATTGCAATGTATACAAAGTCGCACGAACAGCTGCCCGTCAGCACGTACCACTGCCCAGCTGGGCGGCCAACCAAGCTAAGCATCGCTCGGATTCCATCAACAGCCAGACCACCATCATCACCACCACCCGCAGCCTGCCCCAGAGATTGTCTCCTGAGCGAGTTTTTGGTGGTGGAAAGGCTGCTATCACCTTGGTTGTCATTGTGGGCCAGTTTCTTATTTGCTGGCTCCCGTACTTCAGTTTCCACCTTTACATGTCCATCACCACTCCGCTTCAGAGCCCAGGGGACATCGAAGAAGCCGTCACTTGGCTAGCGTATTCCTCGTTTGCTGTGAATCCATTCTTCTATGGCCTTCTGAACCGACAGATTCGCGAGGAACTGATAAAACTGAGAAAATGTTGCGCCAGTAGACCTGTTGAACTTCGAGCCTCAAGTCACGAAGGTTCCATCCATGAAAACTTTCTTCAGTTTCTGCAAAGGACCACCAGCACGGCTGAGACCACCAGACCCAGTTGTGGCGATTCTAGTCCGAGGGATACTGTGGATCAGGGTGCCAGGTTACCTGGCCAGATCCCTGAGGAATGACTTGGAAAATGTGTGAGTACTTGTATGAAAGGTCATGACTTTTGAATTTTTTTTTTATTAAGAAAAGCATTATATATGTGGATGACTAATTATATATGAAAGGGTTAGTTCACCCAAAAATGAAAATTCTGTCATTAATAGTCACCCTCATGTTGTTCCAAACCTATACAATTTTCATTCATCTTCAGAATTTTTTTTGATGAAATTTGAGAGTTTTAACACACAAGAATGAACCTCACTGGTTCTTGTTGAAGTTTAAATGTGATGTGTAAAATATAGTACGAGAATGAACCTCATTGGTTCTCACACCTTAAGCGAACATGCTTGAACTTCCGTTTATCTTAACTGATGTGTGAGTTGAATGTTTATTTGTGAATTAAAGCCTAAATTCAATCTGTCCATCAAGCGAACATGTCTCTTCAGAAAATTTAGACTAAATGGCTCAATTCATATGGATTACATGTTATATATTGTCAATGGAGGGACAGAAATCGCTCAGATTTTATTAAAAATATATTTTATTTATTCTTTTATCTTTTATTAAAAATATCTAAATAGAATTTAAATTTTTGGGTAAACTAACCCTTTAAATCAATGCAAATTTAGATCTAAATTATCTTTGGACTAGTGTAATCTATTTATCCATAATTTCTTGTCATGAATCCTATTGATAAGTGGCAATATTCATGATACGATTAAATATCAAATTCCTTTTGTTGCATACATGTTGATTTATTTCCAACTGTTAAAATGTTGAGTTTATTGAGAATTACTCCGTTATAATTAATTCATTACATAATATCAACACCCGTACTCAATAATTACCATTATTTCATGGCTGTTAATTGTGTGTGCAGCCACTATATTGATGACACAAATTGTCATTAATATTAATGTATATATTTTTTTTTCTCTGTGAAAATAAAACATGTTTCTTACATTTGAAAAGTGATTTAATTCCTCACTCTAAGCCTAAGGCAACTGTTTTGTATATTAAGAAGTTTCTCACTCCATCACCAAGCCTAATTCATTTTTCGTTCAGGAAAAAACGTGTTTCTGAGGGAGGTCTGATGTTCACTGCTAATTCCTTGTTGCCCTGTAACCATGGAAATGTGATGAGACAGGGACTTGCATAGCAACAAGGCGCCTTTGAGTATCGTCCTAGCAGATTGGCTGAAATAAAGGGTTTCAGGCTAGCTCTCTTTACACGCTGCATTATTATAACAGTTTTATGCTGGACGAAATTACCTATAGTTTGAGATGTAGGCTTTTAATGTAACCTTTGAGAGCAATACTAGAAATCATTATCATGCAATGCAAGTGCATAGAATGAGATAACATGCAATTTTATGGTCTTTTTTCCCTTTTAGTGTACAACTTTAACAAACAGAGGGCAAATATGAGGAGCCAGCTTATTTGTCCTCAGCAAACAGCAACAATGACCTCTTTATCTGTTAATATTACAGACTAGGAGTTGAATTTGTTTTAATTATGTAACTTGGGCTGTACAGATTCTTCTTTAGTTAGTAAACACGGCGGGTCCGTTTGCTGCACGTTTAAATGACCGAGACTGCATCTACAAATAAAAGTGTTTCAGGTCACATTTCACCCATAAATAAACAATAAATGACTGTAATGAGTGTTTTAATGTTTACTTGTGAGTTTTTTGTAATCCCCTTTATTCTCAATGGTCATTTTAGGGTGAAATATGACATAAACACGGAAGGTTCAGACATGAAATATGACAGATTTATGGCTTTTGGAGTCATGAAGGTAGTCACTGCACTACAGTGTGTGAAGGAAAAGACAGAATTAAACCATATTCCCAGAAGCTAGCATGAGGTATCCTTATCCTTATCCGTCTCTGCTTCAGAACAGGTCTTTCTCATCAGTGATTCAATAGAGAGTGAACTGATCTGTCATTTCTAACAATAAAACCATGAGCCATGCATGAGGAGCGAGAGAATCAGAAACAGAGGGGGAGGGCAGAGAGAGAAGGGGGGGGGGTGTCGGGGCAGGTACATGTGGCATGATTAGGGATTCATAAACTTGAGTGTCCCTGTTGATCAAAACAAGGCCAGGCAAAAATAGAACCTGAAAGGATTTAGACATGTTGAGGTGAAGATTAAAGGGAAATGATTAAAGAGGGGGGGAATCATGGTCAGATGATCAGCAGAAAACCCAAACCCCCTCCACAATGGACAATAATAAAGCGATTAAGAACTGCTTAAACATTGTGTAGGTAACAGTCGGCCATATGTTGTAATACAATCGTGGAACTATGTTTTACAATATAAAATATAGACAAAATTTTACAATACATTTTACAATATACAGTATACAAATGTAATACAAAACTTGAAGCACAAAAATGTGGTGTCATATAATGATTAATTGTTATGTTGATCATATATATATATAATTTTTTCACCTACACTGGTCATGTAACTTAGTCTTTCATGACTATTGATTCTAAACTCTTTATTACCCTTATACTTAGTCTACACAGGACATGGCAAAGTGACAAAAGCAAACAGAACCCATTATAATCAGTGATGCTGTCTACACTGGATGCGAAACACATCACAACAAATTCCTGACCGTAAACTGATCCCCATTCTATTTCTGACAGACTTCTGTCATTGTGTCCAGTGTAGACAGCCTCAAACTTGGTTTTGTCACATCGCTCGTGTCCGTGGTAAACAGTGTTAGAATACAATTAAATAGACCATTTTATGTCTTTAAAGGTGCCATCTAACATAATAAATCAAATCCTACTCCATATTCCATAACAGATGGGGGCAGTATACCTCCAAAAAATGACTTGTGCTCCTACCATCGCGCATGTTATTCAAATCATTTGACATGATAGTAAAAGGTTGGAAGACCACAGTTTCACGTGGAACATTTGGAGATTTTTAGAGATCAGAGACTCAATGAACTAAACACTAGAGTGAACTAAACTAAACACTATGAATCTCAACACTAAATGATGAAGACCGCCTCATAGATCTCAAAAACAAGCTGGTGCATTTCGACGGTATGGGAAAATAAAAGCTTGGGCAATTATTTGAAGTTTATGGTTTTCGTTTTGTTCATATTACACTTTTATTGTTAGTGAATTAATTTGACAGACAGCATTCGCTGATGTTGATCAAGCTAGCGTCGTGAATTCACCGTGAGACACACGCAATTGACACTTAGCAAGCAGGTTAGTTAAGCTCTCAGATTCTGTCAATTATATTACGCAATTCAAAGAATAAATACCGTTTTGGCGCTTGTACATGTTACACTACAGATCCCTAGCGCACGTGAACCGATCGTCTCTACTAGCTGGAAAAAGAACTCTGTTGAAAGATACAGTATGCTACAACTTACCAAAATGTATTCCTCATGCATAATGTCGACCAATCATTTTTTGAACTCTTCCCTGAACTGAAATGTAGTAATGGGCTGTATTTCCACACGACTGACATCAGGTTCAAGTACACACACAAGCCGGCGCGAGCGCGACTCACTCGTCTATTGCAGTTTGGCTGGTGCTAACGTTGCCCGTCCGCATACCGCCTCCCATGGCCGGAACTGGTATTACGATACCTGCCGGGCCGGGGCTAGTAATTTAGCATGCTAATTCAGGTTAATATCTCGGCAGCACTATAACTTGTCAGTTTTTTAATGACATCTTTGCACTTATTTCTTCTCATTCTTTTGATGCGTGTAGCTCATTTTTCGTATATTGTTACCTCAATTATTACATATGGCACCTTTAAGATTTCCTTGGGATTATTGGTGTTGACACAAATGAATGATAATTAGCATTATTCCTGTAAATATAATTGTAAAGCCAATTATATAATTATAACATTCAGGGACCTAAAATAAAATAAAAGTTGAAATAAACTTCAGTGGCTTGTTTTTAACATTGGGACCATATATGGAAGAATATGCATAGTTGCAGCCAGGTACCCCTTTGTAACATCCTACAAGGTAAAAAAAAAATAGAAGAAGGATGCTTTCTAATCGAGAAGGCTAGTAATAATATTCACGTTAATCAGATATTGGTTTGTGTCCAAAATTGCCCCATACCCTCATATTTCTAGAACACAGTACCAGTAGTAGGATTGAATGTGAGATTGAATAAGTGCCCTCAATAACGTCCACAATGGTTCCAGACACCCAAAAATGTCTGTTTATCTATATGAACAGTTTTTTTTTTTGTTGCTTTTAGCATGGATATGTTAGCCTTATTGTTATCTATAAGCTAGTGTGCTACAATATAACAATGACAAAATTCACATTTAGAAGACCAAAGCCAACATTGAAAATGAAAAACAGGGTGATGTCAGAATCCAACATCAGTTAGCTTCTGTCGTTAACCTGACTTTCATGCAACCCCTGCAATCAAAATCATCTCCTGACTGACGACTGACATTACTACTTTCTACTCAAGGACCTTGACAGAAAGATATTTATCTTTTAAATGTAGTGAAGTTAAAAGTTTCCAGAAAAAAATAATACTCAAGTACAGATGCTCAAAAAGTGTACTTACGGTACTCGTTTCCACTTTTCGAGTCATTTTGATAGTCCACTTTAGTCATTCTACTAACTTTAAGTAACTTTGCAACAACATGTTGTCAACTAACTCTCATTAGAGTATTAGTAGACTGTTAGGTTATGGTTATGTGTTAGCCCAAACCGGGTTATTAGAAAAAGTTGACTTGTTGCCAAGTTACTTATAGTCAGTAGAATATTGATGGACCATCAAAATAAAGTGTTAGCAGATATTAAGCAGACAGCCATACTCTAATGACAGTTACTGTAGCTGACATGTAGTTGCAAAGTTACTTATAGTTAGAATGTCTAAAGTGGACTATCAAAAAAAAGTGTTACCCAGTACTTACAGTAAGTAAATGTAGGCTGCTTTGTTACTGTCCACCTCTGGTGCTACACAAACCAGAACAGCATAAGTTTAAGCAGAATTGTACATTTTTAAGACTTAATGTTCTCTCTGTGTTGATTAGGAATAATCAAACTAAAATTATTATTATTTAATTAATTTGTTTATGAAATAAGAACAGAGGTCTAAAAAGTGTTGGTTTGCATGTGCCACGGGATACCAATTGGTTTGAATGTGCTGGTTCAAACCAGGATTTTTGGTGGGGTAAATCTGGGATAGAATGATAATAACAGCTGGAGAGGCAGGTGTGAGTGTTGGAACATATCGCTCTGAATCCTGCTTCTGAAATCCACTTAAGATAGTTGGATTAGAGTTTATTAAATCAATTTAGTGACACAAGGGGCTTTTCGTGTTATGATCATGATTGCCTTTTTGACATGAATGCACCATGGGAATCCACATGATTGCAGTTGTGTACAATGTTTTTCATTGTTTTAATGGAAATAACAAAAGAGTAGCCTGGCTTACTCATATTCTAGTCAGAATATGAGTCTGATACTGCTCCATAGGGCTTTGATTATGAGGCGTGTCTTAAAAAAACACCAACTCTGCACTGCACTCAATTGGATAGACCTACAACCAATCAGAGCAACGCAGTAAGTGTAAAACACGCAGTTAAAACACTAACTCTGTTTTGATGTGTTTGGGCTTCGATCACATTCAGACAGCATTCGTGGATGCGTCACGTTCCCCCAGCAGGAACATGACCATCACAATGTAACGGTCGAGACTCGATGAGCTCAATAGAGCGAGAGTCCCCTCATCCACACCCCAATTTATTTTCTTCACGTGAGATAATACTTCGGCTGCTGGCATAGGGTGACCTAGGGTTCGCCTCCCAAAAACCAATCATCAGCCTTTTGTGCTCGGGACATGGCGGATGGTTCCACACAACAAGCCCAAATACTCGCGGCGACCCGGGAAAGCAGCCAGGGGACCGAATGAGAACGTGGGCCCGCCACTCTTGCCTTAGACCAACACAAGG